CACGTTACGAATTGAGAAAAAAATATAATATAGGAAAAAATCAAAGATCGCGATCCTTCCTTCCTTCTCTTTTAAGAGAAATAATATTTCGTTTGGGAAGAAAGAAAGAAAAGAAGAAAAAAAAAAAAGGAAAAGAAAAGAAAAAAAGGAAAAATTAACGGACGTACTCGTCGATCGATCATTGGATCTTTCACGTTTTTTATTTTCTTTTTTTCTCTTTTTTCTTTTTTTTCGTCATTTATCTTTAGTCGAGAATAAACATTTGTTCTTCGCACGATAAATCAAGTAAGTATCTTTGTTAAAAGCTAAGAAAATGAGAAAAATCCTCTGTTATACCCTTAAGTGCGTGTATCAAGATATCCTTTTTCATTCTTCCTTCTCTTTTATTCCGACGTTTCTTTAACAGGATTCGGTGCCTTTTGAAGATGCCGGTCGAATCGCCGAAATCGTCGAAAGACGCCCGTGCGATTCCACGGGGTGAAACAATATTTGCGTTATGCGTTATGGGGGTAGAGGGATAGAGAGAGAGAGAGAGAGAGAGAGAGAGAGAGAGAGAGAGAGAGAGAGAGAGAAAGAGGACGACCGGCTGCTCCACGATAAAACGCACGAACGAACACTTTCTTCGTGCTACTCGAGGTATAGGCGTAATTTGTTAAAAATATTTGCTCTCTTCGTTCTTTCTCACTCACATGGGAATGGATTCCATCATCTAACAATAAGACAAATTTTCCATTTAAGCTTCGATTCCCATTTGCCGATACACGCAAACAAATAAAAATATAATACGCACACGCGAACACATAGAAAAGTATCATCGAGGCAGAACAGACCCTTTAAGAAAAATAATTTAATATAATATATATTTCTTTATGATAGACGAAGGAAATAATAAGTTAACAATCATTTTGATACGTTTACAAAATTTTCTTAAGGACTTCAATTAACTTATTCTTTTCGAAGAGATAATCGAAATATCCGAAATATCGGAGAAGAAAATCTTACAAATTTTATAATAAGATAGAGCAATTCGAACGTCGAAAACTGATGATGATGAGGATGCCTATTTCGTTAATTCGACGAAATCTTGTACCTATACGATTGAGATTCACAAGAAGCAAGATCTTCTGTTGCTTTAGCTCAACGAAAAACATCAATCGGCGATGATATCCCGCGGAGTACAAAGTTCCGCGAGTACTTTTTCGAAGTATCTATCCATTGGCTTTTGGAAACTTAAAGATTCTCTCTCTCTTTCTCTCTCTTTCTCTTTTTTTTCCATCTTTCAGCTCGATTATTTCCCCACCTCAAGGCAAAAAGGCGTCCAGTCAAGTGTAACGCAAACTAACGAATCCGAAACAACATCCCTTGGATAGATGTCTCCTAGAGAGACTTCTTCTCTTAGATGATAGGATGCCAGGTAGTACGTGCCAGCTTTTGCACCATCGGGTCATTTCCAAAAGCCCCCTTCCAACTTCTCTACTCGCTTCACGAATCTCAGAGGAGGGTGGCTTGGTATAGTAGTAGCCGCCTAAGGGGTGGGGAACATCCACTTAGCACGCCGCTTAGACGTGAAAACATCTGTATTGTCGTCGCATTAGCGCCAAGGATAGCATTCTCAATGATTACCGAGAAAATTTTAATCTTCCAATGGTTATGGCTCTCCCGCGGAGAGAACTTTTTAAACCGGATATACATATACCTTAACTATTGGCAGATACTTATATATTTAGTGAAATAGAAAAAAAAAAGATATATATATATATTTTTTTTTTTACTTGAGAACATTCGGTCAAAATGTGATCGTTCGTTTGATTTCTTTCTCTTTTTGCCGTCAAATATATTCAATAAAAATATATACATGTTTTATATAATTGCGAGAACGTTATGAGAGTTAACGTTATGTATCTAATATTGTAGTGAAATTTCTGCGAAAAAAAAAGAAAAAAAAAAAGAGAAGAAAGAAAAAAAAATGGTACCAACCAATTGAAAGTTAGTAAATATAATATACCTCTCAACAATGACAGACGCAGTATACGAATCCTCATCTTTCTGTCATTCCTCACGAAAGTATCGACGTATCGCAGACACGGATGCAAACACCAAATCCTGTACGGCATGGAATAATCCTACGCAGAGGATAATCCCGATCCTCGTTGGCTGGCAATGATGTAGGTCCGTGGCTCGATGCCCATATGTCTTTTTAAGACGCACTCGTGACCATATTGAAATCAAAATTCTTATTTATTTTTCTTTTTTTTCTTTCTTTCTTTCTTTCTTTCTTCTTTTTCAATTCATACCATTAACGAATCAGCTAATAACAAAATGACGATCATTATCAAAGAGGGCTCGTTAATAAAGGTTTGAGAGAAAAATCGTTGTCGCTGATGTATAATCAAATGTTTATCATAAAAAAAAAAGAACACATGTGCGCGCGCGTACGAAAGAAAAAGGAACACTTAGTTAGATCAAACGGTTCTAACAGCGACTTAAATCGACGGATAAATCTAGAAACTGGTTCTTCGGATCGGGCCACGATTAACGTACGGATTAGGATTAAGTTTAGCACAGATTTTGGTGCATCAAAATGAAAATGAAAGCGTAGGGACGTACCTATGAGCCTTACGATGGGCGGGGAGGGTTTACCTTACAATGTCGGAGCACGTATACTCACCCCTCGAAAATCTTTTCACGCTTGGTTCTCTACGTATCGCATTGCGAGTATCATCCCCTCCTAGATATACCAAATAAGACCGATGACGACAGTCAATGCGCATTACAACGGTTTTATGCTATTAATACGAACGCATTGGGCGGGATTTGCATAATTGAACAGATTCGAAGGGTGGCGAATAAGACGGCCATCATAGTTCAAATCTCGAATCATCTAATTTTTCAATGAAAATGTTTTTTCCATTGATTGGAGAATAACGCGAATAAATTTTATCGTAACAATAATTAATTGTAAATTTAAATGGTAGATGGGAACAGTGGATTGATAAAAAAAAAAAAAAAAAAAAAAAGGAAAAGAAAAGGAAAAAAACAGAACGAAATAAAGAGAGAGAACGAAAAAAAAATTTTTTATTGTCCACACAAAAATACGAGGCTGATTAATAGGACGGCCATGAGAATACGTTGAAGCTGCCAGAGATCATTTGATTTTTAAATGAAAATTTTATTCAGACCTTTAATTAATCGTACATTTAAGCAATAAATTGAACGTTAATACATCGATAAAAACATATACAAACATACTTTTTACTACTTATGAATAAAGGGCAAAAGCCGACCGAAATGATACTTCAAATATTGAAATTAAAAAGGAAAAAAAAAAAAAAAAAAGAAAAAAGAAAAAAGTAGATATTATCGACTATTGGAAGAAAAAACAAAAATATTGCATCATGCGCGAATGAAAATTTTATCGGACGTACTTTAATCGAACGTACATTAAAACGACCGATGGTTGAACAGTGGATTAATAAAGGAAAGAAAAGAAAGAGGGGAAAAAGAAGAATAAAAAAGAAAGAAAGAAAAGAAAAAGAAAAATCATAATACGAACAAACGTCGAGCTAATCGAGAAGTTCGCTAATAGACGTGAAAAGCCTTGATGATTATCTATGTTAAGTACGTCGTCGGTGGAGGCTTCCATATCCCTGTTATATCAGCAATGTTTCCGGCGAGACTCGATGAGACGCTAGTAGTACATACATACATAGGTTAGAGAGAGAGAGAGAGAGAGAGGGAGAGAGAGAGAGAGAGAGGGAGAGGGAGAGAGAGCGAGAGAGAGTAGATAGTAGGAGGTGGGAAGTAGCAAGGGGTGTCCGGTCGGCATGCTTTCGACACCCCTACTACCTACACCGATATCACCACGATATTGCATCTCCTCTTGCGTCCTCTCCGTAATCCTGATTCTCTTCCCACCCCCCTCTTTCTCTCTCTCTCTCTCTCTCTCTGTCTCTGTCTTCGTCTCCGTCTATCTCCGTCTCTCTCTCTCTCTCTTTTTCACTCTCGAATAGGGGATGTAGAAAGGGTAGAGGGATGGTGAGAGGAAAGGAAGAAGAGAATGGTTCGCGAAGGGTGGTGGAAAAGTGGTGGAGCTTGAAAGAGCCACGCCCCAATCGTACAAACCTCGAGCGTTGAAATCGGAGGGTGTCTCTCTATCCGCGGCTCAGCTCAACTCGGGGGTGGCTCTCGTCTACGTCCAACCGAGAGAGACACGAACGCAACCACCACAGAGGTCACCGCGCGCAACGAAGTCGAATCACAGTCGTATCCTTTATCAGCGATGTCACAGAACATCCACGCGTGTCACCGAACTACAAAACGTCGAACTTTAATCTATAAATAGTTAGTTACAAATAAAATTTCTTTCGATATTATAATTAGAATTTATCGTTTTGTATATCGATTGATTATAATCTCTATCATAAATTATTTCTTTTGTTTTCATTGAATAATCATTGGAGAATAAGAAAGCTGGTTGGAGGGGTGGGGAGGCGGAAGGGGAGGGAAGGGTTATTAAAATCGACACATTGTTATTTATACGAGAAAGGAGAGTGCGCGATGATCGAAAAAATATTATGGCAATGGCTCATGGTGTTACGGAGAACTTGTGATCTAAGACGATCGATAAGATCCGAGCTCATAGCTAATTAATTATGTGTAGATTTTGTGGTGTTATATATATCTTATAAAGATCGTCGATGATTTGTCCTTCGATCTTGTTTAGCTCATTTCATTCGAAGATAATGGAAGAAGAACTTCTTCTTGAAAAGTTTTCATCAACGTGAGTTGGTAGTTCGAATACTGTGATATTTGTAATTCTGACGGAATTTTTCGTTTCTACTTGCTTGCGAAAATTATACGAAGATAAAGGATCGAGAAGGATCGAAGAGGAAAAGGAAGAAGAAGAAGAAGAGAAAGAAGAAGAAGAAGAAGAAGAAGAAGAAGAAGAAGAAGAAGAAGAAGAAAAGAGCAAGAAGGCGAGCAATATCAAATCACGTAACATGGTAGAGAGTATCTATGCTGGTGATTCACCGAGATCACGTTCTCCGATGACGGAACCATCGAGTCCTCTTCAAGATGGTCCCGGTATATCCGGTTACAATCATCGTTATTTATATAATTATTCACCGGAGGGCCCACAACATAAATTAAAAAATCACGATGCCCAAAATCATGCGTCTTCGAGGCGGCACGAAGTCGAATCTCGGGAAAGAACGTTCTCCAGGAGTCCAGTGAGTTCGGAAGAGGCAGGTTATCGACCTCGTGAAATCTCAAGGCCGAGTTCCTCCGCTACCATGTCCTCGCCCACCTCTCTATTTACCATCGACAGTATCCTAGCACCTAGACCGATCGCTAATATACCCCCTACAAGTACTACGAGCTTAAACTCCATGATACAGAATCCGGAAACCGTCGGTTCACCTTCGAGGACAACAACCATTCATCCTCTTCAACAACAGCTTCATCATTTGGCCTTCACCTCGGCGGATTTTTTCGGTGCGTCCTTTTAAAAATAATTTCATTCGGTCCGACACATTAAAATAATTTCATTCCTTTATCGAGTAATGATCGTACATTATATTAATATATTATCATCGAAACTGTCATATCTTAACGAGCCTTTTCTTTTTTTCCTTTTTCCTTTTTCTTTTTTCTTTTTTCTTTTCGAATTGATACGTCGATACGTCATTATCATCGAACATCGAAGAACAAATTTTTATACGAATAAGAAAATATTTATGAAAATTTGATTGCGTCAATGGGAAATATTTATTTTTTATTCGTCCCTTGTACGTAGTGACATTGAGAAGACGTAACGTCTCTCTCTCTCTCTCTCTCTCTCTCTCTCTCTATCTGTCTCTCTCTTTTGATCGTACGATGAGCGGGTAGAGAGGTAAGAGGCGAATGAAAAAAAAAATGAAGAAAAAAAATGAAGAAAAAAATGAAGGTAAGAGAAAAAAAAAGCAGAAAAGAAACGAAAGAACGTGCAAATCCCTTGAGGCTCGACGCCTTCCCGTACCAAAATTTTCTTTATGCCCGGAGGGCTTTAAGTATTTCCATGAGGCGCAAGAGTCTCGCCGCGAGTCTCCGCTCTTGTTGGGGATGCGCCTGCTGAAATCCGTTTCAATCACGCACGAACGATTTGCCTCCTTGCAATCCTGTCGGAAGCTCGAGAAAGAAAGATAAACTATACGAGAAACGATGATAAAAGGTAGAAGGAGAAAGATAGAGATAGAGATAGAGATAGATAGATAGATAAATAAAGAGAGAGAGAAAGAGAGAGAGAGAGAGAGAGAGAGAGAGAGAGAGAGAGAGAGAGTTCGATAAAAGCTGAAATTCTCCCTTCGTGCATTTTTATGCGAGACGTCGCGTCTAAGAAGCTTTTTTTCTTCTCTCTTTTTCTTTTCTTTTTCTTCTTCTTTTTCGAGATTTTAAACTAAAACGTCCCATGAGATCGTGCTCGTTCATTCGCTTTTTATCCTTTTGCACCATGAAATGGGGCTGCCGTCGCTTTCTCTCTCTCTCTCTCTCTCTCTCTCTCTCTCTCTCTCTCTCTTTCTTTCTTTCTCTCTTTGTCTCGTTCTCATTTTCTCATTCCATTTACTACTTCCATTAGAAGAATAATTTTTCTAATTTTTTAGTCGGAGATAAACTTCGTTTAATCTCGCAATCTTTATCTCGATCGACTAACATTATCATCATATCTTTCTGAAATGAAAATTATTAAAATATATTTAATTAGCCCGTGTAAAAATATCCGTATTATAAGATAACGTATGTTTGTTATTAATGTCTTTCAGCCGCCGCATATCCTGCCTTATATCCAGGACAATATGTAGCTGCTATGGCTGCTGCAGGTGTCTCTCTTCATGGACAACCTACGTTTTATCATACTGGTCATCCTTATCAGATGAATCCAAGTACGCCAGGTGTTGGTCCAATGACGAAAAGGAAACGTCGTCATCGGACGATATTTACGGAAGAACAATTGGAACAATTGGAGGCGACTTTTGATAAAACGCATTATCCTGATGTCCTGCTTAGAGAACAATTGGCTCTTCAGGTTGATCTCAAGGAAGAAAGAATCGAGGTGAGTTTTATCGAAGGCCATTATTAACGTGTTTAGTTATTAATTACTTCGTAACGTATAAGTGATATATAAAATATTTATAATACGATGAACGAATAGAAAATTTCTTTTAACTGTTTTAACAATTAACAAAATTATTTATCAATACATTCTACGTAATTTATAAAAAAAAAAAAAAAATTTGTCTTAGCGACAGCTAAGATCCTAAAACTGTTCTATCCTCTATGATGGGTTAAATCAAGCGTGCCAGACAAATTACTTTGAATATCGGGTTTCGAAGAGACAAACATTTGGGAACATCCGTATACGTATTTTAGGGGCTGCACGGACAATTTGTAACGTCGACAAACTTTACGGTCCATCCCCCAATGTGACGAGCCTAAGTATACGAGAACAGAGGTCTGTGTTCTGGTTTGTTTGGTATTCTAATGGACACAAAAGCCAGTAATATTTTAATGCGTTTATTAAAATTTAGCGAGAGTGGGAGATTATTTATCGCTTGCCGTCCAACTTGAACCAACAAGTTGCTTGGTTGCTAGATTAAAAGCTTTGCCGATAATGTGTTTGCCTTCGATCACAGGCATAATTACATGTGTGTCTACTACGTGTTTCGCACACATTTATCTATGAACACACGTATAATGGTTGACGAGAGAGAGAGGAAGATAGAGAGAGAGAGAGAGAGAGAGAGAGAGAGAGAGAGAGAGAGAAAGAAGGGAGGAGAGAGAGAGAAAGAGAAAGAGAGCACATTACGATTCTTCCCTTCTCTTTCTCTATTTGTACTTTCGATATATCGAAAGAGTTTCTGTGTTTCGTTGGTTTAACATTGACACACACGTATCGCGCTTCAATCGTCATTTTGTCTGTTGTTTTTTTTTATTTTTTCTTTTTTTATTTTTTTTACTTTTCCTTTCGTTTTTCATTACTCACACGATCGTTCAACGATCCTTATTTATTTAATTAATTGATTCGACTGAAAATCTATCGAGAAAAATCAAAGTAAACGGTGTTAAACATACGAATGAAAATATTTTTCTAATCCGACGGTAAGAAGTCAAGAGAGAGGAAGATAGATACACACATACACACACACATATAGAAAGAGAGATAGAGACAGAGAGGGAGAGAGAGAGAGAGAGAGAGAGAGAGAGAGAGAGAGAGAGAGAGAGAAAGAGAGAGAGGACGAATATCGAATAATATAAATGAGAGGTTACATTAAAGAATATATTTGAAAAAATATGAAACTCTGAAGTTCATGTCAAACAATTTGTACCGAAATGAACACAGACGCTATCGTAAAGTCATTCACACTTGAGGCGGCCACTGTGAGCCCACCCACGTAGTCGGCTTTGAACAAAGAGAATCCTTCCTCTTGAGAAAGAGTCTTTAAAGACTTTGAAACAACATATACCTGAGTTGCACCTGCCGCAACAAGCAAGCAAGCGAGCTAGCTAGCTAGCTAGCTAGCTAGCAAGTAACCAAGTAACCGAGCTAGCGAGCAAGCGAGCGAACGCTTTCGTGTTTACACGGAATTAGTAGGAAAGCGACTTTTGATGCTTGGAACAAGACGGATAGAACGTAGAAGAAAAGGAGATGGAGGAAATGAAGGAAATGGAGGTACAAGAGGAAAAGAAGGAGGAAAAAGAGGAGGAGGAGGAGGAGGAGGAGGATCCATAGGAGGAAAGGACACACGGCCAAAAGGGAATACGACCTCGAGCATTCCATGTTTGAAGAAAGTTCGGAGGAAGAGGGGAATTGTTTGTTCCTACGACGATTCAGCGTATTTCGAAGATACGAAGACGTCCGAAAAGAATCCTTAGATTATTCCCAACAATCCCCTTTTCTTTTTTCTTTTTTTTTTGTCTTCTTTCGTTTTCTTATCGTTTCTTTCTTTCTTTTTTTTTTTTTTTTTTTTTTTTTTTCTTTTTTTGCTTTGCCAGGAATCACTCATCATTCGTCCATTAACACATCTTTTGATAGAAACTTGAACGATAAGCGTCGCTCGAGACGTTCTGCTAATTTCTTCTTTTCTCGTCCGTATTTTTCTTATGTTTTTCAAATTTCTTTTTCTTTTTCCTTTTTCTTTTTTTTTTTTTTTGTTATAACATTTGAAAAACTGAAATCATACTTTCCATTAAAAGTTAAAGTTCAATAGAGAAAATACGACGATCTATTGATCATCGATTCAATGATGAATATGTTAATATATCATGTAATCTTTATCAATGACGAATGACTTCGTCTTGTTGGTTATATTTTTTATATATTTAAAAAAATTTTCTCTCTCTTCATATACATATGAAGTTTAAGATTCCAAAAGTATACTCTTTATAATATGAATAAAATCTGATTGAAGGAAGAAAAATTTATAACAATTATGAAAGAGATACATAACGTATATAAGAGATAAATTTGAAGAAGCTTTCCTTCGTTTTATTTCTTTCATTTAAATCAATTGCCTCGATTGCCCATAAATCTTCGTTAATCGAAACATATTTTATCTTCGTAAGGGTAGAAGAGAAGCGATACTTTTTCTTTGTTATCTTTTTTATTATTATTCTTTTCCTTTTTCTTTCTTTCTTTTTTTTGTTTCTCTCTCTCTTTTTTTTTTTTTTTTTTTTTTTTTACCTTTCTCAAAAGTAACACCGTGTTTTGGGACGTTCCGTTTGTTATGTAAAATATTATACGACGAAATCTAGAATAGGCGGTAGACAGTAGATATCGATTGTTGTATGCGAGCTTGCTGCTAATCGATTTGGACAGGCGTAAGGGACTAATGCCGATTTCAAATGTGGCACGTTTGATCTTTCGTCGGACCCTTCTCGTTAAGAATTCTCTCGATCCTGGGACACATTAATGGATGAAATGAAATGCTACGTGCTAGAGAGATGCCCCGAGCAATTATTCTCC